GCTGACGGCGCCGCCGCTCCTCACCGTTCCCAGACCCTGAGCTGGGCGAGTGGCCCTTCGTCCGTCGCTGGGCCACGCTCCATGGAGCAGAGCTTAGACCATATGGTAAATCCTGGATACCTGCAGTTTATCATCCCTAGAGCAGGGGTGCCCTCCTCCGTGGGGGAAGCGGGACCGGAGGCATGAGCGGGTTTGGCCATCACCGTTCGGTTTGGACCGGTGTGAAGTGAGCACTGGTTGAACGTCGTGCCTGCTCCCTGTCCAAAGAGTCGGGGCGCCTCAAGCACCGCCGTCTGGTCCCGCAGAGGGGTCCCTGCTGGGGCTCCCCTCGGTAGCTCTTTCAAAGACGCTTTCCCTCTTTGCTTCTGCTGCCCCTTGCTTTGGCAGCTGGGAAGTAGAGAAAACGTGTGCGTGGAGATGCCTGTGTGTGAAAGGGAATAGCTGCCTGCGCTAGAACATGAGTCCTGGACGCACAGTTGTGTCCTAATTGCATAGAGAGTGAAACATGACCTGTTACAGCTGGGCAAGGCACCAAAACCAGCTTTTCATTTAGCTTCTGTCTTTACCACAACACCCCTTCAAAACAACAACAAAAATTAAGATTTCACAGCTGGAGAGATCTTTTTTTTTTTATTTTTCAAAGGAACATCAAGGCAATTTTCCAGTGATGTTGGTAGAACCCAGATTTAATTAGCACAACCACAGATGATACTCTGTGCATTTATTAGAATAATAATGCCACTACTTAAGATTTCCAAAGCCTTTTAACCTCTACAGTGTGGAATGCAAATACTAAACAAGCTTGCAGCTCAGTGAGGTAGGTAGGAATCGTTATCCTTCCAGCAGAATAAATTATAGATCCTTCCCGCGATAAGCACAGTGTTTATGCAGGTAACTCCTTTCACCCCCCCTCCCATATAAATTCCACCCTTCCAGATAAGAGTTTACCTATATGTGTTTTATGTGGTCACATGTAGGTTGAAGCCTGCTCTTTAAAATGGATTTGTCTGATGCCCTTTACAGATAGCACTGTTGAAGAGAGGAGAGCGGGAGCCATTTTAAAGTCTCTTCCCCCATAACGAGGTATCTTTAACGTTGACATTCACCTTTCTGGATGTACAGGGGAATGCGAGAGGGTGAGGAGGAAAACTGTCTTCGCGAGACCAGCTGTGACCGTGAGGAGAAGCAGAGCAGTGAGGGGAACCAGTGGGTGCTGCAGCTCTCCAGTCGCCCTGAGGACAGCGAGGTGGGGTGGGAGGTTGCTGCTGGGGAGGCTGAGCACAGAGCAAAGCAGCCTGCCACCGGGGAGAGGAGTATGAGTATCGGGGAGATGGAGTGAGTACCGGGGAGCTTAAGCCAGCTGCGAGGGAGAATGGTGCAACTAAAAATGGCGTGGGTTGCGCTAAAGATCCTGGAGGGGTATCCAGTTTGTTCAGTTTTGTTAATCTGCCAGCGTTGTGGCTTTCTCCCTGATAGTTTTGAACCTGTTGATCGATATCAACTGGTTTTTATGACTAGGTTTCTGAAAACTTTGTGGGGTGCTAGCAGCTGAATGAAGGAGAGAGACCCGTGCTAGCTAAGATCCGGCTGCCAGCGAGGGGAGCAGGGCAGGCAGCCACCCTCCCCGTGGCTGTGTAGTTCAGGAGCTGCCACGGCAGATGCTGCTCTGCTGCTGGATAGCAGGGAGGGTGAGCAGAAATTCCTGGAGGGGAGGATGTCCGGTGAGGTCCTGTGTGTTGGTGAATTGCAAGCCTAGGTCTGGAGTCTTTCAGTTGTTCTGTGAGCGGGACAGCTGATGTTTTAAAGCATATGGACCTGGAATGATAGAGAAGGGTAACCAATACGTGTGAATATTTGCACACAGGATGACCCTGGAGTAGGAGTGACCTTCTGTAAACTTGCACTTGACTTCACTTGGAACTAAATTTCATGTGTAAAGAAGCCCTGAGTCTGACATGGGGCAAAGCCAAGTGTCAGGGGAAGGAACGATTCATGGCGTGTCTGGGATGGAGCTTGGCACAGGAACCATTTGCAAAGGGAGGGGAGGCCAAAGAGAAGCGCACAGATGAAAAATGCAAAGGGAGATGTTGGTTGCTTTGAGCAGAGGGGAAGGCAGGAGGAGGGAACAGCAATTGCAAGTGTAATCAGTACTGCATAGCCTTGGTGGCTGGGAGGAAAACTCGATACAGAAGGGATGTGCCAAAAGGAGAATGGACAAGGTGGTAGCTCACATACCTGTTGTGCAAGAAATCTGATTAAATCACTGCTTTAGAGCTGAGTGTCACAAAACGTTGAAGTGCTCAGTTCCCTAGAACTAAGTATCTTAAAGCAGGTTTTTTCTTCCCTTAGCATGCCACTTAACAGAATTCATCTGGTCACGTAGCTTTTACATAGAGCCCTGTGCTGCCAGTGACACTTGTGTGCGCAGAACCATTTGGAGGGTAGGTCACCTCTTCCTTAGTGAGTCCTTCCCAGGTAGGAGAACATGCTTGGAGCTTGCTTCCTTGAGAAAGGAGGCAGATCCGTGCCCGACCTCCCCTTCCAGCTGTGTGTTCTTGGTGGTTGAGCAAACGGTGTGTTAGGTGTGAGCAGCAAAGGTTTCAAAGCATC